AACATCCAGATATATGCGATATTTGTATCCAGTGAAATACAGTTCGTGAAAATTATGGGTTTGCTGGGTTGATGCCTTTGGCCCTTCAAGGATTTTCATTAACATTTCTGTAGCATATGTTATTTTTGTACTTTTCTAGACTATGCTGTACTTATATCTCTCTCACTTTATAGTTATATTTTCCCTCTCTCTCTGCAGATAATCTTCCCATTCCACTGGCAGTGTCCGTACATCCCCCTCTGTCCACTTGGGCTCTCGGACCTTCTTAATGCTCCCATCCCCTTCCTCCTTGGCCTGGATTCCAGGTTCTTTGATTTGTACGACCCTCCCCAAGATGTGATATGTATAGACCTCGACACAGGAGCCATGTCTGTGTGAGTTGTCTATTTTATTCCGCGTGTTTGTACGGTAAGATCCCTCCTTCCGGGAGTGACTGGAATATTTATTAATTTGAATTTAAGTTCAGTTTAAAGCCCCAAAAATGACTTAGAGTGGCATTATAACAACTTGTGTAATACATAGTGTAGGATTCTGGCTGAATGATGGAGCAAATAAGTATCATCAGTTGAAAGTACTGTATTTCTTATTAGTGTTTTCCATCATACCAAGTAGATTAATGCAGCACCCAGCTTCTCCAACACTGTGTTAGAAAACTTTGTACATTACCTTGATGAGCCAGATCTTTTGCTTCAAATACTTGTGACAGCAGATATTATGTAAAATTAAATATCTTACCAAATATTTTTCCAGTTATTTTTTAACCTTTTTTATTTCAATGTTCACATAGTTATTACTCCTGCCTCCAACAGACCTGATGACAAGAAACATTTTGTTACCAAGATTCTCCCAAATCGTCCTGTTCGTGTTCTCCGTGCATCACTGGACAGCCTCTGTGAGAAGATACATAAGTTTGAGAAGTCTTTACAGCAACATCTGAAGTCACAGAAAATTGAGCCAAACAGCAGCATTGACTCAGATTTCAAAATGAAGAGAAAAGAGGTAAGCTAAGACTACTCCCATCTCCTCCTGATCACTAAAACACTTTCTCTCCAGTGAATATTTCTGATTTAGTGTTAGATTTGCCTCTTCTATATCATTCTCATTTTTTTTTCAGCAACAACTTGATATAGAGATCCAGGAGGCATTTCTGCGCTTCACCGCCACCATCTTGAAGGGCTACAGTGCCTATTTACTTCCAATTGTGTCAGCCAAAGCCGGTGCTGCATGTGATACTTCCTCCTTGTTTGATCTTGATGGTGAGTGAGGATGGTGCTTGTAGTCTTAGTTCAAATTGGGGTGATTTTTGGTGGTGTAGTTCACATTGGGGTGATTGATGGGGCTTGTGATTTTTTATGTATTAGTTAGCATTAAATCACCACACTGGAGAATACAACGGGAATACTAATTTATGATAAGGATCCTGACATACAGAACCCCAGAAAAAACATTATTCTTTTGTTTTACAGCTTTTGTCAAATCAAGAGACAAGAAGTACCACAAGTTTTACCAGCTGATGGTCAGCACTCAGATGTTTAGCAAGTTTATCGAGGAGCGTTCATTTGTGTCGGACAAGGATGCTTCCCTGGCTTTCTTTGATGACTGTGCTGAGAAGGTGGGTGACAGTGACTCGTATACTGTGCAGATATTTATTTATTTATATATACCTGTATTTTTATTTATTTTTTTTTTTTTTACTGTAGTGCCAGGAACTCAGTGGGGGAATCATAATACTTGTACCATTTGTGATGATTTTAGTCTCAGAGTATCAGTTCATTGATTATAGATGCTTTAGTCATGTATAAATCTCTTGCTATTAAGTTTGTTCATATATCCTTTATATCATACACTATCATCGGTAAGGAAATCTCTTTATGTTTAACTACAGATCCTAACTTGTATTTTCTTACCATTAATAGATGAGAACTAACTCAGTTTTTTTTTATCATCTCAGGTGATTGAGGAGGACACCACCGTTCGTCTGCTGGAGGTGGAGTTGGCCCAGAGTGAACACACGCTCTTTCTTCCTCCACCAGAACCTCTGTACCTACCTGAAGGTGTTACTTATAGTTATTCTGTAAGTTGGTCTTGGTTGATTGAATTCATTACCTGTTTCATGCTGTACTGACTTTAAATATTTACCTCGGGTACATGTAGATAGGTGTGAAGAGGGATGATAAGTTACGTTCTTAGTTACTTGTATGGTTTACATTTTAAGCCTCATGGTCCTGAGGTCTTAGTTTCTGCAGAGCAAATGATGTTGCCTTTTTTAAATATATTTTATAAGGAATCTGTTATTTTATTGCAAAACTGCATAACTGATTTGTCTTTCCATTCCTTTCAGGGTTTTCCTAAACTTAAACCTGAATTGTTTCCTCTTCGTGAGCCCAAGCCTGCACTACCCCCGCAGGTCAAAGCCCCTCAGACTGCTCCTGCTTCCCCCCTGGCCCGTCGCACAAAACAAGAAGTAAAAACGGATCAGAGACTTGCCTCAAAGTATTCACTGACACCTATACTGTGGGCCAAGTGTTTGCTCTCCACATGCTATAGGTAAATAATGTTATTACACATTATAACTATTGAAAGTCCTTATGGAACAAAATTTTATATAAATTCCAATGTTCTGTAGGAATGTGAATCAGATTTCTAAATTGTGTGTCTTATAGAGTAATGATCAAAGAAACTTTAATGGCTCCTACAGGTCATACCTAACCAATATCTTGTATTTCCAGCTTGTGGTTCACACAGCTCCCGGCATTTGCCCTGACGCAGCACCACAAGGCTCGCTTTTTGCAGTTGGCTTTCAAGATCCTCACCAACATGCAGAAGCTACATCTTTCACAAGCTGATGAAGTGAGTCATCAGTGTTTTGACTCCCTTACCGCTAATTCTGTGTCCTTTGTTTTGAAGGTGGACAAATATTGGGTTATGGACCCTGTGGTTTTGTATGGATAAAACCTTCAATAATAGTGAATGAATGGGAGTTTGTGGAGAATCTTTGTTCAGTTTGTCTTGTATCAAATATTGCCGTAGTTTGTTCAGTGTGGCATACATCCATAACTGGGGTGTGTCTTTCAGGTGAGTTACCGTGTGATGATGCAGCTATGTGGACTCTACTCCCAGCCCATCATGGCCGTCAAGGTGCTGTGTGAGATGCGTCAGAATGGCATCACACCCAACGCCATCACCTATGGCTACTACAACCGGGCCGTTATGGAGAATAAGTGGACTCACTCAAACCTCTTTTGGAATAAACTCAGGTAAAGCAATAATTCGATTTAAGACTTGAATATATATTTAAATATGGATATGAATAACATTTTAACCCCTTCACTGAAGGGACGACACTTATTTTATTTTGCTAACACCAGATGATTTTATTCAGCTCAGACAGGGGACCCAGTACACAAGGGGTTAATAGAGCATTGGTGTTGGTTAATTTTTTAAGCAGTGTATGTGAGAAGAAGTTTTGGTTTTGCTACAGTTTCCTTTACAGTTTCGACTAATGTGCGCTACTCCATACAGATGTTATCAGATTTGGTTCACCATCCTGAGAACATAATGTCAACAAATGCTTCATAAGAATCCAACCTCTAGTGAAAAGTGGTTTGTAAAGACTTAAAAATAGTGTTCCTGTCCTGTTAGTAATAGTGTTGGTTTCACAGGAATGTGGTGATTGGTGTGTCAGCATTCAAGCGTTCGGGCTTGGAACGGGCTCAGAGAAGAAAATCGTCTCTCTCCCTGGATGTGGTGGACAAGTGCCTAACAGGTAAGTGATATTCAGTACCTACCAAGATGATGGTTGCCATGTTGAGGGGGTTGTAGTGGAGTTTGGCGTAAGTTAAATGTAGTAGGAAAACATACAAGTAAAATTTCTCCACACACACATACACTTGTGTATATCTTCAACATACATTGGCCAACTCTGGGCTATTTCATGACGAGAGAGAATCAATTATTTAGTTATTTAGTGCTGTGATGTCTCTGGTTTTTTCCTTTTGATGTGACTGGCGACTCCCAATGCCACAGATGCTGACAGTGCCTCACGAGTGTCGCTGGAGAGTGGCACCTCCCTGGACTCCCATCCCCCTGCACCCCATGCCAAGACTGACACTCTAAGCTCAGGTGAGAAATTAATATATGTTATTAATGCATAGAGGCAGACAAAGAGATACAGGCGGTTCTGGAGACTGACTGACTTTTTTATGTAATTTGTTAACTTTTATTTTAGGTATGCCACTTTGTCACTTTAACTGGTACTTCAAGAATATTGTATTAATACATTTCTTACATTTAATTTTTTTTTTTTTACATTGTAGATGACCTGAACGAGCTCAAGGCACAAACTTTATAATCTTTTAGATGGACAAAAGTTACGAGTTTTTGGCCCAGAACTGTCAGTTGTGTAGCCAGTACATCATGTATTGTTTTGTTTGACTAAGGCAGAACATTGTATTTAACTGTGTTGTCTCCCTGCTGTGTGTATATACTGTATCTGTTAATGTACAGTTATACACTACAGTACCTCTTACCAGAGTGTTTCCTCACAGGTGTGAAAAATAATTCAGTTTAATTAACATCCTTATACCTTAGAATGGAAGTAGTGAGGGTCTGCTTCTGTTGTGTGTGGGGCTAACTAACCCGATCATTGTTGTGAGCTGTTGGTGGGTTGCTGACCACTTGAAACATTTTGTGTTTGGTAGACTCAGACGCCTACATTTTCATTATTGGTTTTCTTTGTTGTAGATCCAGGGTATTGCTCTGTCAGCGAGACGAGCGAAAGTGTTAGTTCTCCCGGGGCACCGCCAACGGCTGGTGAGTATGAGCTCTCAGTCATCACAGTACAGTAATGTTACACCACTAGAGGAGAATTTAGGGTTATAATAACTGATATTTGTTGGCTGAAGATTGGTTGTAGTGTTGTGTTATCTGGCCACAAGAGCTGTAGCCATTCCCAGACTAAATATGGGAAGTTACATCGTGTATCACTGTACAGTACTTTCACCCGAATTGGCACTTGGTGCAAATAATGTGCTTCTCTTGCCTGTCTCCTGATAACTACTACAGTATATTAAAGGGTTATCATAGATCAAGAATATAGTGTTTTGCCTGAGAAAAAATTGCTTCCCTATTATATGACAGGACACCCAGTAGACGTACAGTACAGTAAGTCCCTGATAATATATGTACTGTACAGTATATATATAATATATATATATATATATATATATATATATATATATATATATATATATATATATATATATATATATATATATATATATATATATATATATATATATATATATATATATTATATCTTGATAAAATCACACGGGAAAATGGAAACAATGGAGTACCTTAGCTTTCGTCTTTATTCAAGACATCTTCAGAGGCAACTAGATTACATGGACAGAGAGAGGCTTAAATATACAGGGTGACTAGACAGGTCAGGTCAGAAAAAAAAGGGACCCACAAAATAACTGTCATACATCAAGATCAAAGGTTTTCAAAGCAGTTTTAACCTTGGGCCACTGACAAATAAATTTATGTAACATATTATCAGTTTTGAACTGACCATCACTAAGGTTTATTGATTTTAATTCCTTAATCAAACTAGCTTCAACCAGAAGTCTTTCTGTGACACAAGATGATTTGAATACTTCTAAGTTTTTTTCCCAAGCAATGGGGTGATTATTATTCCTAACATGAACGAACAAGGCACTGCTTTCAGATGCAGTTCTGATATTATACTTATGTTGTTTGATTCTGAGCTGCAGTGTTTTTCCTGTCTGTCCTACATAATTACAATTACATTGGCTACATGGAATACAATAAACACTTCCATTTACATTCAAACTTGGGCTATTCCTTATTAACATATTGGTAATGGTTGAGTCATACTTGAAAACAACATTAATATTTAGAAGCTTGAGGGACCTAACTTGTTCTTGGTTTTGGTAGGAAGTTTTCTATCACTCAACGGTGCGTTAATCCGCTTACTATTGCTAAAGGTTTAATCAACCTGGAAAAGATGAAGTCGTCTGATGTTACAAATGAAGATATTTCCATAGCTAAAGGTTGTATACATAGTGTTTTAAATAAGAAATTTGCTTCAAACATTCCAAAAAGATTTGAAACAGCCTTGATAAACTTGAAAAGAAATACGAATATCCATATTACCAAGGCTGATAAGTCTAATGCTATTGTTATCTTGGATAAAAGTGACTACAATGATAAGATGAATTCATTACTTAGTGATGAAAGCACGTATTGTGAGCTTACGAAAGATCCCCTGGAAAATATTAATAAGTTATCTAATTCCAAAATGAAGATGTTATTGAAAAAGAACCCCGATCTCACTAAACAGCTCTCTCAAATCAATCCCTCTTTACCTTATATGTATGGATTGATCAAAACACACAAGCTTAATAATCCATTACGTCCTATCGTGAGTTCTGTGGGTTCTGTTACTTACAAATTATCCAAGTGGCTGGTAAGATGATATCCCCTCTTACAGGCCAAATATCTAATTCACATATACGCAATAGCAGTGATTTAATTGATAAACTCAAGAAACACAACGAACCTTGCGAATTAATAAGTTTTGATGTAAATTCACTGTTCACTAGAGTACCTGTGAAAGACTTACTTTCATTTCTTAAAGATAAATTACAACTGCTAGATTTAACTATTGAACATGATACTTTCCTGAAATTGATAGAGTTATGCGTAACTGACAATGTGTTTAGTGCAAATGGGAAGTTCTACTAGCAAGTATTTGGCATGAGCATGGGTAATTGTCTTTCTGCTCCTCTAGCCTGTATTTATATGGAGTTCTTTGAGTCTAGATTACTCCCCAATGTAGTGGACTGTATTCCTCCTTGGTATAGATATGTAGATGATGTTCTTTGTCTTTGGCCTAAAAACAGTGACCCTTTGGAATTTTTAGACAAGCTTAATAATATTGTCCCTAGTATCACATTCAAAATTGAAAGAGAAATAAGTGAATCCCTTCCATTTCTTGATATGCTTATCATGAGAAATGGCCAAAACTATAAATTTAAGGTATATAGAAAGTCCACACAGGTAGACAGTTTCATACACTTTTTATCCAATCACCTTGAGTCTACCAAAATGTCAGTTTTTTCTGCTATGTTCCTAAGATGTCTGCGTATTTGTGACTCTGAATTTATTGACGACGAATTTAAACACATTCGTTCTATTGCACAGAAACTTGGGTACCCTTCTGTGTTTGTTGATCGTTGCTTTAAAAGGGCTAAAAATCCTTTCATTCCTCTGTAACCAGACAAGTTCCTACACTTAAGAATATTTTGACTCTGCCCTATCGTGATGAATTTGTCCCTTTAGTTCGGTCCCTCAAGCTTCTAAATATTAATGTTGTTTTCAAGTATGACTCAACCATTACTAATATGTTAATAAGGAATAGCCCAAGTTTGAATGTAAATGGAAGTGTTTATTGTATTCCATGTAGCCAATGTAATTGTAATTATGTAGGTCAGACAGGAAAAACACTGCAGCTCAGAATCAAACAACATAAGTATAATATCAGAACTGCATCTGAAAACAGTGCCTTGTTCGTTCATGTTAGGAATAATAATCAAATTTCATTATGTTGGGGAAAAAGCTGTAGCTATTCAAATCATCTTGTGTCACAGAAAGACTTCTGGTTGAAGCTAGTTTGATTAAGGAATTAAAATCAATAAACCTTAGTGATGGTCAGTTCAAAACTGATAATATGTTACATAAATTTATTTGTCAGTGGCCCAAGGTTAAAACTGCTTTGAAAACCTTTGATCTTGACGTATGACAGTTATTTTGTGGGTCCCTTTTTTCTGACCTGACCTGTCTAGTCACGTCACCACCCTTCTCTTAAGCTCCTCTACGGTTGTGTTGGTGTGGGGATTAGTGGATGTCATCATTATGACCTGACCTCATGTTTTTAGGTCACCCTGTATATTTAAGCCTCTCTCTGTCCATGTAATCTAGTTGCCTCTGAAGATGTCTTGAATAAAGACGAAAGCTAAGGTACTCCGTTGTTTCCATTTTCCCGTGTGATTTTATCAAGATATATATATATATATATATATATATATATATATATATATATATATATATATATATATATATATATATATATATATATATATATATGAAGTTGAGTTAATAATAATGACTCTGATATTATAGCCATTAGGTCCTGAATAATAAGAGGTGTCTAAGTGAACAAATGTATGATGTCTTCAATTACCAGCGTAGTGTGGGGTAACAGTGGGGGTAGAAGCGAAGGGTAGGAGTGAAGGGTGGGAGTAAGGCGTGGGAGTAAGGGGTGGGAGTAAGGGGTGGGAGTAAGGGGTAGGAGTAAGGGGTGGGAGTAAGGGGTGGGAGTAAGGGGTGGGAATAAGGGGTGGGAGTAGGGGGTGGGATTAGGGGTAGGATTAAGGGGTGGGAGTAAGGGGTAGGAGTAAGGGGTGGGAGTAAGGGGTGGCAGTAAGGGGTGGCAGTAAGGGGTAGGAGTAAGGGGTGGGAGCAAGGGGTACGAGTAAGAGGGTGGAAGCAGGGGGTGGAAGCAAGGGGTGGGAGTAAGGGGTATGAGTAAGTGGTAGGAGTAAGTGGTAGGAGTAAGGGGTAGAAGTAAGGGGTAGAAGTAAGGGGTAGGAGTAAGGGGTAGAAGTAAGGGGTAGAAGGAAGGGGTGGGAGCAAGGGGTGGGAATAAGGGGTGGGAATAAGGGGTGGGAATAAGGGGTGGGAGTAAGGGGTAGGAGTAAGGGGTAGGAGTAGGGGGCAAGTAAGGGTAGAAGTAGGGGTAGGAGTAAGTGGTAGGAGTAAGGGGTAGTAAGGGGTGGGAGCAGGGTAGAATCCATGTTATCCTGCTGGTGATGTTCTCTCTTTAAACAATTTGTAAAATAAATAAATAAATGGTCAGGTGTAAATGGTAAGAATTTAACAGAGTAATACTGAGGTATTACAAGAAAGAACTAAAAACTGTCCACTGTGTGCATCAACATTTTATAAAAGTATTTGTGAAGCTGTAAAATACTTAGATATAAACTTTTAATTCAACTCTGTAATAAAAATGATTGCAATAATGAATCTAAACAAGAAATGAACTGGGTGAAAAAAATCTACAAAATACTAACAATATAAAAAAGAAGAATTACAGTAAAACCTGAATCATTGTAATAAACATTATTTAACTTTTCGTTGTTATGACCTAAAACAAACAAGGAAGACTCGTCTAGATTTTCGCTCTGTGAATTAACTCCTTGGATTGCTTTTGGGCAAGAGGGGAGTTACTCCGACTTATTCCATGAAAATATTCCCAACTGTCCATAGAATCCGTTACAGTTTCCTTTATAGTAAGTGACTCACAAATGATTAATATTCCCATTCACCAATACTTTATTATATCAGAGAACAGTGCAGAGATAAGCTGGCCAATGAGCGATGGTCAAAGATAATACAGATTTAATACAGGATTGATAAGAACAGCTATAGTGATTTGTTTCATGTTACAGTAATAATAAACTTTATCAAATGTTATAACTACCAAAGTGTTATTTTCGTGATCGATACCCTGCTGCCAGGATTATAACATCGTTTACAAGTTCAGTAAATATATCATGCAGATTAAAACCTAACCAAGTCTATCGTAACCTAACTTAGCCTTTCCTAAGCTAACTTAGACTATCCTAAACTAGCCTAACCTATCCTAATCACACCAAACCTAACCTATCCTAAATTTATATATCATCAACAGATTTATAGATATGTTGGAGAAATAATTATCAAAAGTTTGTTGTCTCTGCAAATGTATTTTTAAAAAAAAGAAAATGAAATGAAAATTTTTTTGAGAACTCAATTGTGTCATGAGCGTTGCGGCTTGGTTAGGTTAGGTAACATTAGGTTAGGTTAGATAAGGTAAGGTAAGATTAGGTAAGGTGAGGTAGTGTTAGGGTTAAATACATTTTACTAATTTTGCATAAAAAAAATCACGACTGAATGTATCGGATAAAAAACCTCTGAATATAATTCTTTTTCTGAGAAAAAAAATTCTTTATCACTTATCTTTTGCCCCACTTTTTTTTATTAGGTTTGATGAACTTAGATTAGGTTAGATATTATTTAACTCTGAGTCATGGGTACTTATTGGATACTTG